TTTCCAAGGGTGATATAGTTAAGGGAGAAGCAAGTGCTCCCTGCAACAGTAAAGAGCTGTTTGGCCAGTTCCTTCTGAAACCTGTAAGTCGCCGCCCCTGGGATGTAATAAGTGAGCTAGAAAGTTTTAACAAGGAATTGCAAGAACAGGAAGAGAGCACAAGTAGTGAAGAAGACTCAGAAAGTGCTGCAGCTTCTCCACAAGAATGTGGCCTTACAAAGAGAAGGGCATCCAGAAATGAAAAGTCAAACAGGGAACCAAGACATGGTGGGCAGCTGGAAATCATCGTGCCAGATGTTCCTGTGTTTAAGTCAGGGAGAGTTAAAAGTAAGTCTGAAAGTTGGAGTATGGGGACAGAGTATGGTGATCCGCAGAGCTGTGTGGGATCTTTGCAGCCAAGAGAGAGCAGTGAAGTAGTCAGGCCAGCAGATGGAAGTCTGATAACAGAAATAAGAAAAGAGGAAGCCAAGAGCAGCACAAACAAACAGCTAGTTAGTGTGGGTCCTCTCAAGAGAGTTTTGTCCAGTAGCCCGAGCAGTTCATGTCATGAAAGTAATCCTTTCAATAACACTGACTTAAAGGAGATGAATGAATATCAAAGTTACCTAGAATTTGTTAAACCGAACATAAGCACAACTCCCAGAAATGATGCCGTCTTGGAGAGAGGCACGATAGTACGCTTGTCATTAACAAAAAGGAACCAAGGGCACTCTGAGCCAGACCTGAGGTCCGTGGGCCTTGATACAGCCTCAGGACCTACTGTTAACAATTCCGAACATTCTTCAAATGTAAAAGCAGTGGAAATCCCTCCAAACGAGTCACTGCAGGATAGAGCTGCAAGGATTTTAGGCATAGAGATAGCAGTGGAATCTCTCCTTCCTGATGATAGAGTTGGGCTCCACTCAGGTGTCAGCCCTGCTAATGGTGCCCAGGACTTTGACTCATCAGTGGGTAGCACAGTAAGTGGCCAAGAAGGAAGAAAAGATAGTTCTTATGAAGGAAGACGAAAGTGCGGCTGGACAGAAAGCGCGCTGTTTGTTGGAGAGGGAGGCCGATCTTTATACCCTGATGAATGCCAGACCACTGACCAAGAAGCCAGTGCTAAAACTGAGATAACCAAGCAAGCTTTTGAACAACCTGCAGGTCCCAGCCAAGGTGAGGACCAAAACTTGTCATGCAAGTCAGCTGCATATCAGCATTCAGAAAAGAGAGTGAGAAGCACCTCAAAAGTGATAGAGACACTCCAAGGCAAACTCACTTCTCCACCTAGCCGGACTGCCATGGACCGCTTAGTGCGAATGAAGGAAGTTGACTCCGTGTCGCGCATGAGACGTCTGAGCATTAAAAATGCAGACTCCGTAGAGGACATGGATGAGGAGAAGCTGTCAAGGGTACAAGAGGAGAGGGGAAGCAAATCGGCAAGCTCAGGGGGTGTTTCCAAGCGTGTTATCTCTCTCAGTGAAAATGGATACTTGGACAAGAAGATTGGCAGAGATGTTTGTTTAGGTAAGTCCTTGTTACATGAGATCCAAGTGGGTACTGTTTTATTATGTAATGATGTTTGTAGTATCATAATAACATACATGATAATGCAATGATCATTATTTTCTACGATCAAATAATTCTACTCAAATAGCAACAGGCTACTACCCCCATCTGGTTGTCACCGTCTTTGTTCTTCATGTGGAAGAGACAACATGAATGTTTTCTAATCCCATGTTAGGAAATGTTACTGTAAAACTTAACTTTTAATACTGAAACTCATTCACAGAGACTGGAGCATTCCCCAAGGTCTTATTTCTGTCTAATTGTTTCAGAGAACTGCCTGTTTAAAAAAGCAGAGTTCAGAGATAGTCACTGTTGTGCCAGCATTTGGGGACACATGGTGATATAATCATAGCCTGTCCCTGAATACCCCATTTTCCTGCTCTAACACTTAAATGGATACATACTATACATACTTTTTTCACTGAACAACTTTTTTTTTCTTTTCTTTTGTCCCTTTTTTTGTCTCAAGCTGTAAGCATGTAAACTTACATAGCCATATTCATCCTCAATGTAACTTCAGCTGTTCTGTCTGGGACAGTTTTCATATGACAGTGTGTTGAACCACTAGAAACAAGTTGTTGTCATAGATTTATGTAAAAGGATAAATCTCCCAGGCCACCTATCCAGTACATTAAATCAATTAGAGCGAGCAAATGTATGGTGTGAGAGTTGTTAAATTGTAGTATTAATCTCCCCCTTGTTTTTCCAATCCTCTCTATAACAGCTGACACTGTACCTTGAAATTTACACTAGCTATTCATTAAACCCCATCAATATAAATCTGTTTACAGATTTCCATTACAGAGCCACTGAAAATAAAGCAAGCATACTTTAAAATGGATTTATTTATTTCCTCCCAAAGAGAAATGATTGTATGAATTTTAAATATTGACTCCAATTTTTTGCAGCCTTTCCTTTTGTGACCATTTCTGCACCCCACAGGTGTGTGTCTTTCTGCCCCAAAATTGTATTCTCTAGAGCAGATTTTCTAAACAGGCCAAATCAGCTTCCTTGTACCCAATCATGTTTAGTATGCTCCAAATGTATCTCATATGCTTTCCTCTCTTGAGATTTCTGCTGGAGAATAACTGTTGTGGTGACAATGACTTCAGGGATGTATCAAAACAGATTGTGTGCATTTTACTGGAGAATTGTACTTGGATTTTTTCTGCAGTAAATTAGGTCTAAATTTATCCCTCTTACTGACTGCCAAGCTTGTATTCTGCAAAGTGTGTTCCCACTGGGACAGTTCCCTTGCAACAGGGACAGCCTTCCCCATGATGGGCTAGCGTGACTCATTCTTTGGGCTGCATATATCTTGTACCACAAGGAAAACATGAACTCGCAAGGGGCACAAAGGAATCTCCTGCATTGCCTTCCTCATGGCCAATAAGAGCTGGATTGTTGACAGCCACAAGATCCTCATCTTCAGCTTAAAGGGCAGGACTGAGATCCGTGTTTGTAGAAGAGCCTGGTGTTGTGTGTGTCTCTGTGAACTTCCCCCAACTTCCAAAATAGGTCACTGGTACCATGGGAAGCCAAAATAAGAACTAATCCTGGAAATCCACTGCATTTATTGATTTTAAAGAGTATATGTAGCTAAAATCCATTCTGTTTGGAGTGAAATGTAGTGATAGTCTTATAATCACAGCTGGGGCCCATCACAGGGACTAGTAGCCTTAGCAGAAACAGACTTCTACCTGTTCCTGCCTGGCAGGTGAACAGGCATCGCTCCGTAGAAGAGCTGTGCAGACACTCAGCACAAGAGGCTGATCTTACTATGCAAATACTGTCGTTAGAAGAACTTGTTCATAAATGTAATGAAAATCTTTTCTCCTTTGCTATTTGAAGACTTTTTCTGTGAAGCTGCTGATCTAGTTTTTTGTTTCTGTAGAAAGCATTTCAAATGAGCTTAGCTAAACTGTGAATACGTGCTTGTGTATCTGTGCTGGAACTCTCGTGCTGCACCCCTCGAAATGTGGCACGGCCAGAATTCCTCCTGACACTCCGGCCCTCTGTGTCCTTGGTTTAGAAGTTGAAGGTGTTAGGTAAGAAGGAATAAACTGAATCATGTGGATTCTCCATGTGTTGAGACCCAGCCTCGCTGTCACCCCCCTGCCCCTGCCAAGCACAGGCACCCAGAAAGAGCGAGTCCCTGCAACTCTGAGGTGAACTGTCAGTATGAATGTTCTGAAAATTGGGCCATGGAGGCCTTAGGAAAATCAGGTTTCTGAAATATGAATCCATTTCTATTTTTAGCACCGCTTCATGCAGAACAGTTCGGAATTTTTCTACATTCTTTTATTTTAGATGGGAAAACATATAAAATTATAAAAGCATTGCTGCTTCAGGGGGATCTTCCCCTGCAACCATTGCATTAAACTTAGAAAGTAGCAGTACTGTCCTGGAACATTCCCTCAACGCTATTTTCCCCTTTTTTGCTTTTTTTTCCTCACTCGTGGTGTCTGTCAATGAAGTTTGGAAATACCAGAAGAGGCTACATTGCAATAAGAAGTTCTGAAAACCTAGGTGTTACTGGCACAGACCCTTTTCTTGGCTGGCCTCACAATTTGAGGAGAACTGGGAAGAGAAAGGATAAAGGATCCAGCACAAATAATCCAGTCACTAGGGACAAGTCCATAAACTATTTCTTGGCCAGTCTTCCCTTGATATAAGCCTTGGTGCTGTAGATGGACTCTTGCACATAGACGTCAGGTTTTCACTGTGAGAGTTTTTATGCTTGTTTGAATAAAGAGAGTTGCTCACATCTACATGAAAGTCCTCAGGGTGAACATTTTACTCCTAAGTGTGATATTTATGTGTGCAACTATTTTCATGCTCAACTGTTCAAATGAGAGTGCTATGGGAATTCAGCCTGCGGGAGAGACTTTTAAGGTTTGCATTATAAAGTTATATAAGAGTTTCAAGTAGCACACAGTAACACAGGCTGCGGTGCAAGTTTTTCCAGGCCCTTGTGCACTTACAGGCTCTTCCATGGGTAGCTCTGGTTCTTCCACTCTATGACTGTGTTGCCTTCCACGATGCCTAGAGGAAGGCAGATGTGCATGACAGTGGAGGGCATGCAGATCTCACAGGGCTAAACTTTCATTGCAATCATATCACAAAGTCCCAAGCATGAAAGATGTGATGCTCACATCATGGCAAATGTCTAGAATCTAATAAAGAAATAGATAGAAAAGTGTCTTTTGGGATTCAGGAAAAGTGAAGTGCTCTGCACTATTGAGAGTTCAATTATCAAGAGTTCAACTATCAAAAGTTAAAATCTAGAAAAATGACAGGCCTATGCTTTAATGAATTAAATTCAAACTATGCCATGCAGTTTTGCAGCCTGGAGAGGGACAAAGAGTCAAACTATGCAGTTTTGCAGCCTGGAGAGGGACAGCCTAACTATACTGATGTAACACAGGTGCTTTGCTTTCCAGTAGTCCACTGAGTTGTTTTCAAACTGAGGAGGGCCTGCAATCAAACTGAAAGGTCACAGTGAATGAGCTGTATGATCACTCCTTCAAGTAGCCTTAAATACCATGCTAGGAGGCTTGCAAAATTTACTTGTCTGTGTCTCATCCAAAGACAGCAAACCTAATGTCCCTCTCTCCTTCCTTCTCAAAGCATCTGCAAGAAGGAATTGTTTATTCCTTCCTCTATACTCAAGCATTATATCTCCATACATTTGATCTGAGTAGCATGCAGTTACACTGATGTGAGTAGCATTCATAGTGTGCTTATTTAAGGCTGTCAGTTCAGTATTAGCTTCTTTTTGAAAATAAATATTAGGAAAAAGATGTCTCATTTCCCTGTCTTTCTGCGCGTATTGACATTGAATAGATTTCAGAATGCATTCTTAATACTGTTTTTCTTGTCTTTTTCAGACACATATGACCCCACCAAAGTTGAAAAGGTGTGAGATGAGAACAGAGATTTCTGCTCTACTAAGAATGTTTCACCAATTTTCGCTGGGTGCTTTCTGCTTGTTTTTGTTTTTTTGATGCTTGGATATTGCCTCAATTTGTGGTGTTCATGGTGTACTGATGATGCCTTTACCAATGCCACTAGGAATTAGTTATTCAAATACAAAACTGTTGTAGAGACCACAGAAAAATCTGACTTCTACATTGGAATCATCTGGCTTCGTAGCATTAAGATTTAATGCCCACAGTTGGCAAAGAGTTTTCATCTGAACTGGGTTTCAGTCTTCAACAGGAATGGAGAAATGCATGAAACAAGACTTTTGAGGTTTCTCTTTGGTGTAAATTAAACGTGGGAGATTAGTGAAATGATTTTTAAAAGAATGTGAACATATAAGCTAAGCTTTCATCTCTGAAGTCTAAACTTGGTTTGACTTGAGAGATTTTGGCCATAAGTAAAGTGCTGCTGCACTGAATGGGGGAAAGAATGCAAGACAAGGGTAGTGAAGATTGATTGTGAAATTACTTCTGACTTCCAGAGTTTAAAATTACTTGGGTTAAATACTTATTTGCCACCTAGAGAGAAGGAAATCAACCCCCCCCACCACGCTTCTAAAAGATGAAGACTTTTGTAGTTCTGTGTACAGAATATATCATTACAGTAGCTGTCAATGAGTGTTTCAAACCAATGCAAAGTATACCACTGGCTGTTTTGCACTCAGTATTACCTATTTTTGTTCTGCAGTTTAGAAATTCTTTATATGACAGAGTAGTAGCTGGTTTAAGATATCCCATTTTAACAAAGTAACTATATTTCTTGTTACAGAATACTATCTATTTTTCTACGATGTAAACAATTGCTAACAAGTGGCAAGTATAAAGAAGTATTATTATTATTATTATTATTATATTTTAAGAAGACTTATCCCTCTGAGTGAAGGTGACCCAAGCAGATTTCACTTGTGTATCTTAATACACACTCCATACTGCCACATACTCAGTAGTGCTATCTTATTTTTTTTGTGAAAAGAGCCATCCATGTATGTATCTGTGTACTACGGGGTTAATTTCTACTTTTCCTCCACTCAACCCTTGGATCATTCTTCCTGGAGCAACTTTCTGAAACGCAGCGGAGAACCGTCTGCGCTGCTGTTCCTGCCATAACATTCCAATGACTGTAATTACCAAAAAGTGGGCATGGATCTTTGTCTCGATGCCTTGAAGCAGCTCGGATAAAATACCTGGTTTCTTTCTTTCACTTCGTTCCTTTTTACATATTGTGTTTTTGGATCAGGCCAGTATATAAAAACAAATATACCTGGGTTAAATTCTTTCCTGCAGCTGGTTGATGTTGCTGGGGAGGAGTTCAGATGTCTTCTCTGAGGTATTTAAATACATGGCTTTAAATATATATTACTTGCAGACTCAAATGCATGAATTACAGATTTTATTATAAAGCCCATGCATTCTGCTGTTGGATATTGAATTAATCTCCATAGTATCTTTGTCTTTAAAGCCTTTATGTCCACTCCTGTGTGTTTTTTTGGTGTTTTTGTT